GCTGCAGCTGGTGTGGCGCCACATGTTCCTGATCCCTCTAACGAGAGGCTGAGGCAGGAGAACTGCCACAAGTTAGAGGCCAGCCTAGGGCTGCAGAGTGAGCTCAAGGCCAGCCTGAACTGGAGTATATAATCTGAAACACGCACACACACGCGCGCACAAGCACACACGCACGCACGCACGCACACACACACAGCAGCTGACATGGTGCATGATCTTGCTGGGATCCCCAGCTGCAGAGAGCTACTCACTCCCGATGACCACTCCAGTCATGCCCACCCTTGGCGCCCTCTGGGCCAGCTCTGTTCCCGTCTCTGTACCACTTTTCTGAGTCACAGATAATTTGCTAATTATAAGTCACATCCTATTTTAGAAATCCTGATGACTTACGCTCAAATGCTATGTTCATCACACTGATAGAAGAATTGTGCTTTCTCATGCTAGATGGAAAAAAAAAGGAAGGAAAACAGAGCAAAGAGAAGACGTTCAGTTGGAACCTTTGGGATCCTCTGAGCCAGCGTTTCCCCAGCTCAGACGCAAGGCGCAGGGTCTGCTGGAGGAGGAGCAGGTTCAAGGACAGCTGGGTGCTCTGCACAGACCACACATCCCCTTGGTGCAAGGACAACACAGACAAGCCGAGGGGAGGGGTAGAATGAAAGAGCTTAAAAGGCTCCAGTCAACAACTTCTGACATTGCCAGTCATGCAGATAACCCACTACTATGATAGACTACTGGACTATATTGGATTACTTTACTGAATTCATGCACCAACAATATATGAATGGCAATGGAATACCCATCTCTGGCAAAAGTAAGCAAAAAAGGAGGATATAAATGAAGGACTATTTTGTAGTGAAAATATATATATATAAAATAGTTAGCATAGATGTACAGCTACTTTCTCTTCGTTTGATGAGAAGAAAATTTTGAACTAATAGTGTTTAGACAAGATATCATGTCTGCATCTTGTACTCTGAATTACTATGAAGACAACAATATGCAATGTATTAATTATTGTAACTGTCCTACTAACCTGTTTTGAAACTATCTCAT